GACTTGGAATGACAAGTTTGTCTTCCGGGTCGATGAGGACTTCTTGTACGCCGACACCTCAGCCGTCATGATCGACATCTACGCTCTCCATTGGTTCAAAGACATCCACGTGGGATCCGTTCGTGTCCTCATCGCTAACCTTATCCCCTTCCCGCGCAGCACAATCCCTCCTCGGGGATGCGGTTCGGGGCGCTCCAAGTCCGAAGGCCGTCGGGTCGTCCCCAGGGGATTTTGAACATTGGTGTGGCGGTGCTTGACAGCTCCATGCGGAGCATGCCTCTGTACACCCACAATCCCTCAGCCGTTGGATACCGCCATTTGATGGGCGAGAAAGATGCTTATGAGCATCATAATCATATGAGCCCTCGACACGCTTCCAAGCCGGAGCTCCGGCGAACCAAGAGCGACACCAGCTCTATGATCAGCGCTCGACAGCAAAGGCCCAGGGGCACAAGGGGGAAAGCATCTTCGGTGTTGTCATCTTCAGATGCCACTTCTAGGAAAAGCGGCAAGAAAAAGAGCCGCTCACGGTCTAGGGCTAGCTCCAAAGTTAGCGGCTCCGACGTCAGCGAAGGAGGTGGCAAAATTGGAAAACCGACCTCTGTTCTCAGCGAGCCTGGGGCTGGATTCCAATGGAGGGCTAAGTTTGAGGGGCCAGATTCTATGCTCAGCGGCTCCGACCTAGATGAGAAGCCGATCAGGGTTAAGTCCCCCAGTCCGAATCACAATGCCAAGGATTCTGATGTCATCGATCACAAGAACCAGAAATTGCAAACGCCAGAATCGTCGACGACAGACTCAGAAACGACCACCGACACTCATGATACTACTGATAACTTCAATGCCGCCTTTGAAAACCAAAGACTCTCTCAGAAAACCAACAATGTGTATGAAGTCAAGCCATCGCCGAAACCGCAGTTTCGGAATTCTCCGGGTCCGAAGCTCCTCCAAACGCCACCAGTCGGCTTCGGAGGTACACATAAGAACACGCCAATGCATCCCACAGCGGGTTACGGAGGTTCGCATAAGAATACGCCAATGCATCCCACAGTGGGTTACGGAGGTTCGCACAAGAATACGCCCATGCATCAAGCGGTAGGTTACGGAGGTTCGCACAAGAACACGCCCTTGCATCAAGAGGCAGGTTACGGAGGTTCGCATAAGGCCACGCCAAAGGGAACTCCATTGCATTCGATCGGGAAGTTCAATCCGGCTTTAGAGTACGCAACCCCGAGAAGATCCAATTTAGGAGGCATCGCTCCTCGTATTATAACAGAATCGGAGCTCGGACCGTCACCGTCAGAGGTGGCGGCAGCATTGGCAAAAAACCCGAAGATCGACGAGGTGAAAGTTCCACGGTGGGTGGGTGGAGCCTCGACGAGAGTGTGGAGGGATTACAATCGAAGCTGGATAGGTGGAGGACGGAGCTTCCACCGGTGTACGATCGGGGCGAGCTCTCGAGCTACCCAGCGTCGACCAGGAGCAAAAAATCCATGCATAACCGAAGGCACACAGACGGAGGGAATGGTTTGTTCTCGTGCTTCAGCAACATCTGTGGCTGTCAATGCACTATCGTTTGTGGTGGTGACAATTCAAGGAAGAAAACCACCGGCCACCGGCGGACTCCATCCGCAGGCGACACGAGTTTCCTCTGATGGGTTCGACCCGACCCGCTAGTGAAGGCCATGATCAGGACGGACGTGGAAGGTAGGAGTAATTAATGGTTAAGGAGGTGCTAAATGCCACGTGCGGGGCGCGCATTTTTGTTATAACTGAAGAATTTTCATGCAAAATGCTTTCGATGCTAAGGACAAGGAGAGGGGTTGACGAGGATGGGTTAGGGCTTATGCCTAATTCTAATTCTTTGTTTTTGGTAATTTTTTTTTAAAAAATGGAATTTGTTGTTTTCTTCTTGCTTTTGCATAAATTGGAAAAGCAGGAGAAAAAGGGGGAAATTAAGAAAATTATAACCGCATTTATATACGGGGTTGATTGATTGTCAAATATATTTATTCAATTATTATCTTATTTATGATGTATATTTGTATTGATAGTTTTGATCGAGGATCACATTAGAGGCTTTTTGTTGTTTTGAATCTTTTTTTTCTCCCATCTTTAATTTGTGCTCACCAATATTTATTACTGTTTTGCATATAACTTTGCTAGATCTTATCGAGAAAAATATATAACTTTGTTATTAGATAAAGTAAATACAACTATTGTAACAAGGAAAAAATGTAAAATTATACTCCTTTGGTCTTAAATATAACACCTTTTTTGTGGTGTAAATTACACCACAAAGAGATCTTATATTTAGAACCGGAGAATATATGATTTGTAACGTTTATTACTAATATTCAGTATTTTTCAAGCTTACAATTTTCAATTATAGATAGTCTCCTCAACAATAAATTCTAATAAGCACATCAAACATGTATCGAGCTTCTTAATAGTACAAGCACTACTTGAATAAACAATGGACTACTAAAAATTCAAAAAAAAATTTATGAAAAATAAATAATCACATTATATAAAGAGCCACGCATCCTCAATTAATCCATATATAACGTTCAAATGTCACCCCCTTGGGCAGCAAATATATCCTAAATAGTTGTATATACTCATAATATAACCTTTTTATCTAATATATTACTCTTCGAGTTCTAAATATAAGACTTTTTTTTGTAATGTAAATTACATTATAAAAATAGGTTTATATTTATGATAGGAGGAATAATATTTTTTTAGACCGTATATACTGCTATTAATTGTATTTTATGTATGCTTTGGAAGAAAACATGGTGCTATATATGGATATGTGCATTGATTGATGTTAGTCAACGCCTACCGGAAGAAACTGAACTGCAATAAAATCCAACAAGATCTCCATGAAACGTGAAACAAAGATACATGATTAACACACAAATCACTTGTTTTAATGAATCATGTTCTTTTCCATAACTTTGGGCCAGGGTTTTTGAAAGCTTTGTTCGGCAAAATGACATGTTGGTTTTTTAACTTTTAGATCCCATAATATCTGATCAAAAGATCTTCACCAACTAGGTAGTAAAAGTTATCCATGAAGGGTCAAATTTAAAACAACTACTATATCTATTATTACACCTAATAAAATTATATCGGAAAGCTTCTCCGTGGCCAAAATTAAAACTTGAAATGAAAAAACAAATCCCACAAAGCTAGCTTGAAGGTTAAATCAAAAGGATAGATCTCATGTGGTATATAAAAAATATAGGCTTTTTAATTTGAGAAGAGGAGCACTAATAGTGGTTCCTAGCTGCGGTAGATGAAGATGCTTTTGCTTTTATGCTGGTAATTAATTAATTGCGTTGAAAGGCAGGGTTTCAATATTGTGGGGTCCAAAAGGGGAATTAATGAAATGTTTAGTAATGATAAATACAACATATTTTAAGGAATAATTATGGGGGAAGGTTTTTTTGTTGTTTTCTCACTCCACAGTTGGCAAAGGCATATAAGGATATATATTATCTTTTGGTCCCAACTTTGTAAAACAAAAGGCTTGTGTGGCCATTTGTCCTGTAAATACAAGACAGAGAGCCTAAGAAAGAAGAAAAATTAAAAAAGATTTTTTTAAAAAAAGGTGGGCATTGAGAACCCAAACCAGAATCATATTCTTTTTCTTGCTTGTGCTGCTAAAGACACCATTCCTTCTCACTTTAACCCCCTTTGCTTTTTCATGCTAATCCTGTATCAGACACCTAATCATCCCCTTTTTCTTAACATTAACCACCATAATTAGTTTCTTCTTCATCAGCTGACACATAAACATAGACATGCTAAAAAATTACCCAGATCATAAAAATTGTGTTGAGTGTGTTTTAGAGATCAAGATTATTACTAGCTAAACATCATAAAAAATTATTCCGAGAAGTTTAAAAAGTTACAATTATTTAATCAATAGTTATAAATATTCAACTTTGTGTGTGAATATATATATATATATATATTTTTTGGCCAGAGCTACTCTTTTTAGTGCTTTAACTATATTTGAATTCAATCCAATAATATCATATACTAAAAATCATTCAAATTTTTAAAAAAGGTTTAATTTCTTAACAATAATTAGTATGCATACAATTTTATATATGCTACAGTTGGGGGTTCCATCGTCTGTATCATAAAAGAAGTCACTACAATAGTTAAAGAGCAAAAGTTAAGTATAAGTAATTCAGGCAATGTAGAGCATTATTAAGGATTAAGAATTGAGCAGTTCACTTCCTGTTATGCGGTGAACAATTATGGGGTTGGTAACTTTAAGCAGCTGAATTAAGCAAATCGTACAAATATGATTAACTATCATACTAATCCATACACACACCTAAAAAGTTCGTTTTTGCAATCAACACCAAAAGTAACTCCCTCGTACTATTCCTAATTAGTTACCATCACCACGTATCATGTTCCTTGTCTCTGTATTCCATTCCACATCTCATCACCTTCTTCTCTTCCTTTTTCTTTACTTTGATCACATATATACCATCTACTCTATCCTCCACCTGCCCCGTAAACTTCACTAATGCTCTTTTTCCCCCAACAAATTAAATTCTTGGCAAACAGGTCATATATTTGAAAAATTGGGATTGCATATAGAAGTTGATAATCATGGGAAGACTTTAACCTATTCTGTCTTGATCATGATAATATTTGTTGTCTTTTAACAAATCTGGGGTGTTGTTTGCACTACTTAATATAGAATAATATGTACAACTTGTGAAATTATTAGAAAATTAGATTAGACTAGGCTAGACTACCCTTGACTTAATTAAAAAATATGCTATTCTCGAAAGATATAAATTATGCGAAGGCAAAAGGAGAAAATGAGAAGTGGTATGCGCACTAAGAAGACATATGGGTCCCATATCATCACTAACTCCACCCCCTCCAACAGCATCCTTTTCCCCTACTTTCGTGCTTCTTTTCTTTCTCGTCCTTCAATACCATTTTGTCTTCCACACCTTGTTCCTCCCGTTCCCAAGCGACTCGCAAAGTTCTGCCCTTTTTACCACCCTCTTTCTCATCCCCTCCTTCCCTCACAAACCCATCTTTCATTTCCTCTATCTCTCTAGCTTTCGATCTTCAATCCTTCTTCCATGACTCTGGTTTTACTAGGTGGTGGTGGCGGTGGCAATGGTGGCTCTTCCGGGCTACCCCAAATGAGCCTGCTGTGTCAAATGCTAAGTTTCTAGGCCAAGAATGTTCATCCTCGTACAAAGGCGAGGCTGAACTTGAACTGGGTTTGGGTCTGAGCCTTGGTGGTCGAGGTGGTGCTGCTGCTGCTGGGAAGGCCAAGCCTTCTTCTGCATGGGGTGAGTGTGGTCGTATTTTGACTGCTAAAGACTTCCCTTCTGGGGTCTCTCATGGACCTGCTGTTGCTGCTTCTCGTTTCTCAGACAGAGTCAGTACTGTGGGTGGTTCTGTTTCTGGCACTAAGAGAGCTGCTGACTCTGTCTCTCATGACGCTGGATCTCCTACTGCTGGCAGGTGAGATGATTCATGGAGACCTTTGTGTTTAGCTTAAAATTTATTGTTTGTATAATGGAGCAAAGTATGTTTTGGTCGTGTCAGATCAGTTGAATAATATTTTTCATTTTTTTCCCGGGTCCTGTTTTATCTCTCTGTTATTGCCATTATTCCCATAAGATGCTGTTTTTGTTTCTGAAATCAAATGCTTAAACTTGTTTCTCAATCAAGTTAACTGTTGTTTGACCGTTTTGGAGTCAGTTATGGTCTTCTTGTGTTGTTGTCGAAACAGAGCTTGTTTTATCTTTATTGCAGCTGATTAGTATACTTGTATTTATTGCCTCAACTCCGAATATATACTTTGATTATTTGTTTTATTTTTCATTTTTGGTCGTTAACCGTAAGACATAGTAATGAAGATTTGCCACTGTTTTGAAGCTTGACGATATGTAAAGAAACTGGCAAAAAATACTAGGTTCTTCAAGTGAAGACATAAATTTCACTTATTTCAGTCCGATTTTTTCTTGAACAAATAAGAACAAGATGGATAAAAATACTTTATTTTTTCCTAGTTGTTTGTAAATCCTCGTATTTTGTGCGTATTTTGCCTCTTTAATCACACACATATATTCATTTTTTTCCTCTTGTATGTTCAACTCTCCTACTTATGCTTAAATGTATACATCTACTATAGATAGCTGGTTTAGAGATCAAACTATGATCTGCTCTCACTTGTGCTCTGACTATTATGGAAGCAGTCAAGTTGTTGGGTGGCCACCCATCAGGGCATATAGGATGAACAGCTTGATTAACCAAGCAAAAGCTCAAAGGGCTGAAGAAGATAAATCCAGCAGCGATAAGAGTAATCCAGATGATGTTTCAGTTGCTAAAAATGGCACCGTCACCAATACTGAAAAAAACCATCTTGGATTTGTGAAGGTGAATATGGATGGAATTCGCATTGGCAGAAAGGTAGACTTGAATTCTCATTCAAGCTATGAGACTTTAGCTCAGACACTGGAAGAAATGTTTTTCAGGCCTGCTAAATCAGCTGGTTAGTTCTCTTTAGTACTTTCCAGACTTACTGCAGCTTGGATAACAATTTAATTCTATGTTTGGCTCAGTGAATTTCATCATAATAGATAATAATCTAAATTTTAGTCTGTTATGCACATAAAGGGACTCATATTTTGTTCCTTATTGCACTTGTCATGTCCATTTAAACTCCATGGTGTATGAACAAGCAGTTAAGTGTATGAGATTATTGATTCCTTTATGACCATGTGCTTTTTCTGCGTGCTGCAGGTAGCGAGAAAGACCCTGGACTGAAAGCCTCTAAGCTTTTGGACGAAACGTCTGAATTTGTGCTGACATATGAAGATAAAGAGGGTGATTGGATGCTTGTGGGAGATGTTCCCTGGAGGTATGCAACTTCAATTCATTATGACATAATTATACTATGAGAGAATAAGGAAGTGAAAACCACGAGGAAACGGAGCCATAGCCAGCCAATTTCTTCTCTGTGCAGAGAAGTTTTATATTATGTAATAAAGTGACAGACATTAGAAACTTGTGACTAAGAAAGTTGATCTTAGGAAGAAACTCATTTCTCAATTACAAGAATTGGCATATCTGAAAGTGTCACGCTCAAGACCAAATTAATTATTAGATGTTCAACATATTGTCCTGCTTAAGAGAACATTCACCTCATGACATTAATTATACTTCTTGGTTGTTCGTAGGATGTTCCTCAGCTCAGTGAGAAGGCTCCGAATCATGAGAACGTCTGAGGCCAATGGACTTGGTAAACTAAATCCACATCACAGACTATAAAATATTCTGAATCTGGTTTCAATCAGACAGGGACTTTCTCAACCATTCTAACATTACCTCGTTGTTTAACTGCAGCTCCTAGATATCAAGAGAAAAATGAGAGGCTAAGGATCAAACCCATTTAGAATCTTTTCAATTGTTCGTTCCAAGACCCCGCAAGTTATAGAAAAATCCTCAGTTTGACAACAGTTGCTACTACATGAAAGTAGAGAAGATTGGTCTTCCAATGGTTTTCAGTTTGTTTATTTGTTTTCTGCAAGGTTTTGACCATTCTATGGTTCTTGTTGTGTCTTGATTTTGTTTTTCCTTAATAGAGAACCTCGGTTCTATCCCACAGATCCTTACATCATACAAGCCTGCATACTTGACTGAAGGCTGTTTTTATTTCTTCACACTGTAAATACTGGAGTACTTAATATCTAGAGTGTCAAGTTTGCTGCAATGTACTAGATTGAGCTTTTACATATGGTGTCAGAAAAGGGGGAAAAAGAAGTACGTGTTATCTCCATTGTCGTTTTAATTTGCAGTTGCTGAGTTGGTTTGGTCGTTTCAAATATATATTGTACTCCATCCTTGTGTGGCTTGAGATAATCTCCACAATCTATGTTTATGAATGGATCAACCTCCACCACAACTTAATCTCTTGATCGGATTAAAATCTGATTGATTAGTATGCATTTAAGAAAAAGAGTGCCGAATTATACGCAGGATAAAACTCAAATGAATTTAAGCATTATCCATGGACTGTCTTTTCAACTTAGAATTATATTATGAAGTTTAAGAAAATTGCCGTTAAACTTCTTTTCTTCTTATCTGTACATCTTTCTAAAGTTATGGGTATAAAGTTATCTCTTATCTGATTTGTAATGTGACAGCGGATAGAATCGCACTATTCAGTTGAAGTCGTGGAATATTTCCTGGCAATGACACTTTGATGGCTGATATTATGGTCTAATCTTCAATCATGATGTTTAAAGTTGTTGCATTCTTCCTACTGAACATTTTGATCATAGTTTAGTTGAGATCAATCAATCATGTATATATATTTGCCGAAGGAAATACAAAACATTATAGCAGAAATCATTTCGGCATCAGAAATTATTCACAATCCCCATTAAAGGTCAAGCAACGACATCATTAGTGTTAATGATGCTTGGTTTTAAACCCCACAAGGTTACAAAACCAAAATTCTCTTTCATATGTCCGACATGTGAAAAAAAAATGTTTCTGTAACAGGCTTAAGGACAATAAGAATGAAGTATGAAGAATCTTATTTGGGATTTGGTTGTCATGGAAAGGGGAGATCATGATGAAGGGAGACAGAAATCATATCATGAAGAAGGCACTCAAATGAGGAATTGACCTACTTTTATAATGATGTGTTGGGAAATTTTTTGAGAGACAGAAGTGGTTCCAAGTCTTCAACTTGACAGTGTAGCTTTTAGGAGTGGGACCAAATCAATATTAAATTGATTTGGATGTGCATGCGTGCCTAGTATTTTGTCTCTCTGTAATCACACTTGGGTGTTAAATTTCAGAAAGGCCATAATGACTCAGTTGTAAATCCTAGATTTGTGGGTCCCAACCATTAGAGACCAGGATTTTTAAATTTTAGGTTTTATATGGCAATGCTTGTGTCCTCTCCACCACTAATTAATTGGTTCTCAAACAAGTTTTATTTTTTCGGGAAAAAAAAAACCCTCCAGAGCCATGTAGAAATTATTATTTACATTTTTATTCTTTTGTTTCAGAACACAGGAGTAACATTTCTCTTGTCTGCCAAAAAAGAAATATGACTTTCTTAAGTACCCTCATTGCAAGATTGCTTTTCACAAGTTTGGATTTTTTTCCACTAGATTTTAAATTTTGATTTTTTTTTGAAAAATCAGATGTAAAATATATGTACTTATCATTCGAGTAAGTCACACATATTGAAATACAATTTAATATCATAATTAAATTTATTTTTCTTTGATATTGACAACAATTTAAAACAATTGAGTGAGTAAATTACATAATTTTTATATATCAAAATTAATTTACACTCGTAAAAACATGTTTGGAAATAGATCTTCTGTATGGCCAAGAAAAAAAAATGAAAATAGATCGTATATTATTAAACTCTGCAATAATATCCTTTTAAAAAACTGCATATGTAAGAATAAATGAAAACTGAAAAAATAAATGAGTATTATATTGTCTAATTAGGTTATCTGTTTTTTCATGCCAAAAAAATTTAGGTACTAAGTTAAGTGTTTTTGTTTTTATTTTTTACCGGTGAACAAAAAACCGGTTCAACCAGTAAAACAGTGAACCAGTTCAATTTGGATACTAAATTGGGAGGGAGTTGAACCGATAGAAAATCGGTCAAACCAATGTGAACCGATAATAAACCGGTTTGAATGATTAAATTGTTATTAGTCCTATTTTTTCTCATACAGCTCTTAATGTATCAATCCCTATAGATTTAAATGAATTTTAATGATAATTTTGGTATCAACGATTATTAATTTAATTAATGATGAACCATAAAGATCAAAATTCTCAATGTTGTTATATTTTGTTATTATTACAATCAAATTATTGTCATATTTTCTTGTATTTTATTATTAGTGATGGTTAATGTTATTATATTTTGTTATTTTTAATCAAATTATATTATTTTAACATGACTGATTGGATCCCAAATTGATCACTGTCTGACCAACTGATTTTTAAATCACTACCTTAACCGATTTAGTATCCAATCGGTTTTTTATTTTTTTTCCCCCTTGCTTTTAACTTTTCCGCCACAAGCCCACAAAGAAAGCTAATGTGATCTAACGTCGACGTTTTGTAGATCAGAAACTGTGTCTGAAACGCCCCTGGGCTGTTCGCCTTGCTCCCATCCCTCGCCAACTTGAAGGCTCTCACCCCCAGTCGCCACCGTTGAGGCAATCTGTCACCTCGTGTTCTTTTTGATTATAGGTGCGTCAGGCTTTCGATGAATCAAATATTCGATTGAAATTTCGTTTGATTGTTTTGGCCGTATACTTTAAACTTTGGGCAAATATAGTATATTCCTTTCGGGTGTTGGTATCCACCTCTCGGGAAGTATCTCTTTTTGGATTGTTTTTTGTTTTTAACATCTGAACTGCTTTCTGTATAAATCTCTTACTCTCTACACCAGCTAGGGTGCTTGATTATATGCTTTTCATTTTGTCTATCTGAGAGTAAAATAGTCTTCTGTGTGGAGTCAACTGATGATAAGGCATTCCGATGGAATCATAATCGAAAATGGTTTGGGTACTACGATTATAATCGTAGATTTCTCGTGTCGGGGCGGTTCGTTAGCCCACCTCCAAATATCGAGATGTACAGTGTTTGAATGTTTTCATGATATTGGTTTGAAACAATTTGATCTTTTGCACTTTCATTAGGACTGAGGATATCTCAATAGAATTCACTTGATTGTTCAAATAAATTTGCACAATAAATGATATGCGGAAAGAGTTTTGAAATAATATTAGGATAAAACACGTCCATGGAAGGAGTATGATAATAATTTTTGGCATCAATAGAAATTAAATTCACCATCTGCAGGATCTCTGTATCTGTCACTTTTTCTTGGCTAGCTGACCTCTTTAATATTGGGACTGGTTACCAATAAATCCTGCATTTTTCAATCTAAATATGTGTCCCCAGCATTTAAAATGTCAACCGGCAAATTATATAGGGCAGCCCTAATTTTAACGGTTGTGAAATTGGTTTCAGAGAAGACATGGAGTTTGTTAACAGATTAGTTGACGTGGCAGCGAGAGCTATGAACAACAACATAGTGATTGATGTTTGCCTACTTGCTTCATTTGCAACACTGGGAATGAGATCAGTGCACCAGCAAAAGGTCATTGAGGCTCTAGAGGCCGAGAAGGAAAATCTTATCAAATCCAACAAGGCCATGAGAAAGACCATGTGGGATTGGAAACAACAGCTTTTCAGTGAAGCCTCAACTGATTCTGCATTGGTCCCCCTCACAAGGCTTCGAGCCATCTATGGCGAAGCCCCAACTGCTCAATCTGCTGCCGGTACTTTTATTCTGTCTCCCTCCATCATAGACTTTGCGCGATAAATTTGTTGAACTAGTAAATGGAAGCTTTAGTTTGCATTTTTTTCATAATATTATATCCTATCCCAGTATGTCTCTCTATCGCTTTAGTTTCGTTAAATTTATGCTTTTGATCGGTGGAAATTGCTTTTAAATGTGGGTTTCCATATCTAAAATATGAAAAATTGATGTTAAACTGTTGCAAAAGCTTGATGTTGGTTTTACACAGCTCAAATGATTCAAGATTTGTAAATGTTCAAATTTTATGCATGTTACTAATCCTAATTTCTATGATTGTTGTAGGAGATGCTGCGAAATCTTCTGGCTCCGTCAAATTTATTGTGTGAAATGTGCTGAGTGATCATGCTCTTGAGAAATTTTGGCAGTGAATGCCTGTTGAATAAACTATTTAAGAGATAAGAATTATGTAATGCTGTCATGCCTGGTTATTTTAATTGGTATTGGGATTATGCAAATGTACAAATGGGAGAAAGTGGAAGGTGGCACAGAGGGAAAAAAAACCATCAATGAGCGAAATTGAATATGCTTGTTACCATTTTATTGGCGGATGAACAATTAATGAACTTCTTGGAAGCTCGTTCTACTTTACCTCCATGATTCATGTACGAATATAGTTGTTGATGAGTTGAAAAGTTGCGCCGTTGTTAACTTCAACATGTTGGGCATACTTGTATTGTTTGATCATATACAAGTGGAGCTGAATGAATAATTATCATGATAGGAGCTTTCACACCATTCATTTCGAAGAAAGAATTAGACGAATGCAAATGATAGATCTAAAAGTACGTAAACTAGTACGCTATTACTCCCTACTTCTTGCCAAGTTTCCGGGATATTCATTATTACGACTATTCAAAACCTGATCCTAACTGCATAATAAGCCACGACCAACTTCACGCTCTCTAACTTACTGCAAAAACTCCCTCGGATCAGTTACGAAACCGGTTAATGCAGATGCTGCAGCAGTGTATGGTGAAGCAAGGTATATCTGTCCCTCCTTGTGCCCCATTCTACCTGGAAAGTTCCTATTTGTTGTTGACACACAAGCCTGCATTCATAGTTCAGGTTTGAATCTATAAAGCAGTCCGATATTGTCTCTTCATAAAAGTCACATTAGGATCAATTGTTTATTCCATAAAAGTTACACTTGGATATGGGTTTCAGGAAATGAACCTTTCACCATTGACCACTGGTCACTTATGATTAATACAGTGAGTGAGGCTGAAATTGGGATCTTTACTCTAACCTCTAAAAAGTAGCAAACTGATGAATCTACTGCATTGTGAGTTTAATTATTGAGAAAGACTAAATTTACCTGCGGCTCATTCAAGCGTCCATAGGTGTCTCTGGGGCCACCCATACAGGCAGCACAGCTAGGACTCGCAGGTGCATCACAACCAACTTCTTCAAAAATCTGAGAACAAGTCTTGCCACCTGAGCCAGGTACCTCGAGAGTGTACAAGTCCATCCAAACCTGTAAACATCGTATTACCAGCGTGGTGTGTTCAAACAACCCTTGAATTTGTCATGAAACATTCCTGAACCAGGAGACACGGCTTACGTTCAAGTACATAGATAAATACCTTCTGCGTGGCAGGGACAAGAAATGTAGGAACTTTGACGCCTTTACCCTACAATGCGGATGGTTTCATGAAGTTAAAGATAAGAAAGAATAACTGAAAAGTAGTAAATGGAAGAAATAAAATGATAATCAGAGAATTAGGTTGCCTGTGAGAATGTACACCCCGGAAGACAAGACCAAATCAATACAGCTTAGAATGTACAAAATGCATCCAAATAATCTATTTTCATACTGATACGCGGGCACAACTAATGAAATTGAGAAGGATATAAATAACTCTATTGACTTACTGCGGCTAAGAAAACTCTTGCTGCAGCCATAAAATCTTCTGTCTTTCCGCCTGTACATGATCCAATATATACCCTGTCAATTTTCACATCTCTGCAATCTCTTGCCAGGGCACGGTTATCCGGACAGTGAGGCTGCAATGTCGCATATTACATTACTTCAAGAATAGCTCACAAGCTTCCTAATTTATCATATAAAGTGCACTACCTTCGCCACCAATGGTTCCAACTTCGATACATCAAATTTGTACTCGCCCACAAATCTGAAGTCCGCAAGGAAGTACCAAATAAGAAAAACAAAAGAATCTTAAATTATCAAAAGAGAAAACAAAAGGGTAAAGAAGTGTCAAAATAAAGATTTTACAAATATGTAACTTTCTTTACAGGTGGGATGTGAATAGGACAATCACCACAAGTCACCCAATCGCTCATCACTGATTGTCATGTATGGAAGAAAACGAAAATCCATTCACATTTTCGAATGTCTATAGGACGTGAACAAGCAATCGAGGCACGATAAAGTCATAATAGCAAGACTTGGGATTTTCTTTATAGCAGATTATTTACATATTTGTGTGTTATATCTCTCTCCATATACATATATATAGAGAAAGAAATTCAAATAGAGGGTTATAGTTTGATCATTCCACTGGCAAAAGGTCTCAAGAGTCACAGATTCTGAACAAAGTACTCCGAATATCATCCCAAGTACATCTTTAATCGTAAGCCTGGCATGCATGCGCTTAATAAACCAGGACAACTAGCTGAAAAAGAGAAATTAGGAATGGCGATTCCAAACTAGCTTAATAATAAATGAAAGGTAGACTGGTACGGGTAAATAAAAAGGAACTTGCCTTGCTTCCTCATCACTATAAACTGGTTCATAGCCAGCAGATGTCTTATCCTACGAAAAGCCAAAAAAGCGATGTAAAATATTGGCAGATAAGAAAAAGTTGTAAACAAATACTCCTCCGGTCTTTAATATAAGACCCATTTAACTAATTTGATTAGATTAAGGAAGTTAGGTAAGTTAGTTACTTATAAGAAATGTGACATATTTTTCCTAAAATACCATAATCATTTTTCTTAATACCCCTCTTCCTCTTCTACTTAATTATGGTTGTAGAAGTATCCATAGGGTAATTTAGAGAAAATTGATAAATATGAAAAATGGGTCTTATATTTAGGACCAAAACCAATTCAATAATTGGGTCCTATATTAAGGACCGGAGGAGTAGCATTTAAAGATGATAAAAGTGCGACACTAGCACATCTCTTAATGCATAGGCACAAGGTATCTATGCATGTAGTACAGTAGGAGTAAGCATCAAATATATTCACGTATACATAGAAACATATTGCATGCTTGCTTCTAGAGATGAGAGAATCAGTGAAAAGAGAGAGAGAAAGACAGAAAAGGTTTCATCAGAAGTGTACTGATCATCTCTAACCTCAAGGTATTTGTATGTTGTCTCATCAGCAGGAACAACGCCATTTTTGCCCCCTGCTTCTATAACCATGTTGCATATTGTCATCCTTTCTTCAACCTATAATACAGCACATCATTACTATTTTAATTCTGACTCATGCATTAAACATTAGCATTTACGATAAACATTAAAAGAGAAAAGATGCAGTTCACTATTCACATACGCTTAAACTTTCAATAGTGGTTCCTACAAACTCCATGGCTTTATATGTTGCACCAGACATTGATATTTCACCAATGATCTGCACAGTTGTAATGTTTATCAGGGCAGCAACACAGAAAAGGATGCTTTAATATTCATATCATGGCATTTTAACTAGTTGCATTCCATTCAAAGGGAAAAACAAATTCTGGAGGAATTCATCACTTACATGCAAAATTAAATCCTTGGCAAGTAAATAGCTGGGCATTTCACCATTCAGCACAAATCTCAAAGTTGGAGGAACCTGCAGTTTAAGTGCATGGAGAAAATTCGTGGGATATTCATCAAAACAATTACCAAAATATCAAAGCAAAAAGCAAAGTACTGATCATTGGGTTCTGCTCATGGAAAAGGATTTTCTATCAGGTTTCTTATTGAAGATAACCAAAAAAAGAAAAAGAGAAAAAGGTTTCCTATTAAATGATGCAGCAGTCAATTAAGTCCTGTTTTAACATTTGCAAGGTGAAGCCAACCAAAGACAGCGCAGTAAAACTATAGGCTGGCTGACTCAATAAATAGTTGTCTGTAAGTAATTTAATATCTTTACCATACTTATGATAATAGAGCAACTAAAGAGCTGATAGGATAAGTAGAATAATTGTTTACACACACATGCATGCACACACGCACATAAGTAAATGTAGTACATGCCTTGATTAAGAGCTTTCCTGTTCCCAATATAAAGGCTGCATCAGTGTTACCGATTCCAGTAGCAAATTGGCCAAATGCTCCAGCAGATGTGGTGTGAGAATCTGTCCCAAACAAGACCTGCCATAATTGGTGAAGAGATGAGAACAGCTTGGAAAGCTTAAATGTGGTTTAGATTCAAATTACCAATAGCTTGATCAAGTAAACTTTACCTCTCCGGGTCTGCAATGACCTTCCTGGGCAAGAGCAATGTGGCAAACACCTTTATAATCAGGGTTGGCCTGCAATGTCAAAATTTAGTATTCCTATATTCATACGATGCAGTCTTTTAGCAATACAATTTTATCGCTAAATAATATGAAAATTATTTTGATGTCAACCATGTGTATACTGATTGCTGATTTTATATATATATATATATATATATATATATATATATCCTCGCGAAGGACAGAAAGTAACAAAAGAATGAGCAATGACATCTCTAAGAACCAGATAACGATTGGCTTATTATATCATATCTTAAACATTGATAAGAGAAAAAAGGAAATGGAAGTTCCAGCCAAATATAAGATTCTTATAAATGAATAGCCACTTCATACCAACGTCATAGTTTTCTCTCGGGATCTGACATCCACTTCAACTTGAGCAGTCACACTAAGAAAAATAAATTAATATATCGATGAATAATTATTTCATCAGGCCATTGTCCTACGCAACGTGACTTATTGTTTATTTACACACTCATACGATCTTACATTTAAATTTTATTTCATAAATTAGGAGCAGATAGCAAACTTTTCCTGCTTCAGTTTCAATATTAGTTTGTTACTTTATTTTATTAATGTATGGCTTTAAGCATGAAGAAAAAGGATTGGTTGAGATTAATCAAAATTAATGGTCCCAAGTAACCTGCCGGTTGATATCTCATTCAATATTTTATTTAATCAATGAATGATTCTTAATATACTTCACATAATGAAGAAGAAAGAAAGAAACTCAATCGAACATGCAGTCCAAAGGCAAAGAGAAATGGGGGTGAAGATCATACCCTAAAATTGCTGCGATCAGTAATGTCATAAAAGTACTTAATGTTTTGCTCCAAGCTGAAGTTTCTGGCAGTGTCCACATTTCGATGAGCTCTTTCATCATTTGTGAATATGTAGTGATCAGGGATAATTACTATCTTTTCACGGTCCCAAACCTTCATTCTCAAAACAGCAACACAAGTTAATAAACAAAATTACTTTTCATTGAACATGCATGAACAGACGTAATCCTTGCTATAATAGAGTTGTTGAGAGATCAAATATCAAGCTTGAATTGGTAGATTTTTAGAGGGTTCGGTTCCCAAAATGATTTTTTTAGGTAAATGATTAAATGGTGAAATCTTGTAAAATTTTACATGCTAGTAGAATTCCAAAAAAATCTACATGACCATACTACAAGATAATAGTGTTCCCTGACTTCCCAGCCAATGTGGCCTGACTTGATCTCGTGGCTATCATGCTATGTTACAAACTACAAAGGGACTAACATGAATAGATAAAATTTTTCAGGGTTATTTGGTAATTCTGGCTATAAAGAAGCTTCAACACCACAGACTAAATAATATTACACTAAAACAAAAAGAAAACGAAACGAAAAATATGTTCTTTCCCAGTTAATTAACACGCACAAGGTGGGTACACTATGGACCATACTTAAATCAAATTTTTTATATTTATTATGTTAAGTTTTCTAATTATATATGGTCATGTATTCTATTTTTTAAATATTAGCGTTTAATTATAAACCTGCATAGAAAAAAAATAAAATACATGAATATGGCTATTTGTGACTAAAAAACTTGACATAATGGATATAAGTAACTTGAGTTAAGTATTTTTTTTTGGTATAAGACGTTAAGTATTTTCCATATACTATACGCTCTGAAACTTTCTCTGCATAATTAAGTTAAATTTAACAGGGAACTTAATAAAACTCCAAACCTGACCATCTCAAGTCAAGAGGAGATCTTGATTCTTCATAAAACGAATAACAAAGTTGGCAGAACAGTACCTTGGCATTCGGGCCAAACTCTTTCTTGAAGGTGGCAGCTATGCCAGGACAAGTAATATCGTTGATCATTAAAACATCAGCATTAACCCACACGTTGTCCCCTGGCTTAACATCACATTTCTCCGAAGCTCTAGCCAGTATCTTCTCTGTCATGGTCATTGGATTCTTGGCCTGTAGTGAAGCAAAACCCTCTGTTACTACTGAAACTTAATTATAGCTGATCCATGGAGATATAGGGAAGCAAACAGAGTGAAAGAGTTGGAGCCAACTGAGCCGGTGGTGGAGGGCTTGCGCTCATACTGTTGTGGTGCCGCCACAGAAACAATCTTCTTCGAGATGGTTTCCTTGCGTTTCTTCTCCACAGTAGATGATGATGAAGGAAAACAAGAGAGACTCAATTCTTTCTGAGACAAAAATATCAGAACCACAAACTTGGGTTAGTGAAATGTAATGATTCTAAAATGTTAAGAGATCAGGTTTGCAGAGATAAGGGAGTAACCTTGCCATTGATGAGTGATGTTGGAGGGGTGAAAGCCCAGACAAGGGAAGCCATGATTGCAATACAGGGATTAGTGGGAGTTCGATTTGATTTGATGATCTAGGAGATGTAAGGTTCGTTTTGATAGCTGAGAACAGAGGAAGCCGGTCAAAAACAGAGAAATCCTAACATCTAGTAAAGAGCATGAGGATATTTCGTGTCACTTTCCTAGGAATGTAGCAGCCTATGGTCTTTTCAATTATGAGCAGCCCTTCAGTGTAATAGTGAAATGCGTATCTGTAATGCCTCTGAAAAGTCAAAATTTGCATGTGTCCTATCTCTTTTGGTGTACTCCTTTTTCTTTTTCTGATGAAAGGTCAACTGCATTACTTAAAACATAACTAATACAGGAACCAGAGCACAGACACGAACCCACACTCGAAATGAAAAGGACAAAGAAAACTCGTGCAAGAAGTAGGAAGATCCACGCAAGAGGGATTCATAACTCGTTCAAGGCTGTAGTGATCCCAATGAACGCCCACGAACTTGAATTTATGGACAACATGTGTGATTAAATGCCACGATGGAACTCAAAGTCGCCATGTGCTACCTGAAGTTCAGGCCGTTTCTTGCGTTTTTCTTCTCGTACTAAAAGGGGAACGATGGAACTCAAGTTCAGGCCTGTTTATTACTCAACACTCACTTGCGTTTTCGTTCTGTGGCAGAACGATGGTGCACAACAACCCTGCCTATACTCAGGAATATATGAACCTGTGCCAATCAAAACTTGCTTCGCCTATGAGGAAGCCACTGGAAAGTCGGTTGGAACCATGTTAATTGCAGAGAGCAACTCTCATCAACATGACCATTGTGGAGTAAGGTGGGACTGCTTGACTGATTGAACCAGTCATTTAATTGTTTTCTATTCTTTCTATTTTTTAAGTTGTAATTTATGCTTAGTGCTTATTTACTCTCTCCTGTCTTATCTATGAGAAGCACATTCCATGCTTATCACAATTTAGACCATTCAAATCGACTTTAGATAGTTCAGATTGAATTTAAATTTTTTTATATATTTTAATCAACTTTTTGTTTTAATAGATACAGAATTTAAAATAAAAATAATATCATAACTAACATATCTTTAAAAAATAGATTTATTATTAAAAAATTGTATATTAAAAATTTTAAATCTGAACTATCCATATTAGATTTTAAATTATTTAGATTGTATTATAGTGATAAGTACATGGTACTCATCATTGTGATAAGCATTGAATGAAGATCACTTATTCATAACATTCAAATTTAGAGCAAGGTGTAGTCCTTTTGATAAGTTTTAATTAGGGATTTGTTTTTTTTTAATTTTACTCTTAATTATTTATTCTCTCTCATTTGTCATATTCTCTTATCACATTTCTCATACATTCTTTTTCATCCTTTTTATCATTTATTATAAGGACATGTTTAAAAACAAAACTATATTTATAATATATTTATTACTTTTAACTAATTGTTCGTCATCTTTAAATTAGTTATATGAAGCTTATAATAAGAATCAGAGGAGTATTAAATAAGTACAAAGAAAGGAAGAAAATTTAACAAATATGTCGGAAACATGCTAACATACTTATACGTATGTATTCTAAGTTATATAACAAGCACATAAATCTTGCATGAAGACATGAGTATTGACAGATGTCACCTTTTTAATTATATATTATTTTTATTATTTAAAATGTATTCATTTGTTTATGACCAATTCAACCACAATTCACCCAAGATCGGAGATTGAATTACGTGTCCGGTTTTTCAGTTCACTGAATCAATGTGGCGCCACTGGTTGCCACGAGACCCACAGTAAGAAAGTGGCTCCGTGACGCAAAGCGAGCAATGAAGATGGCCGCGATTAATTCAATTTTGTGATCAACGCTTTTCGTTTTTGGAAAATAGATTTCGCTTACCAAATTAAAAAAAAAGAATGAAAAAACAAGAGTAAACAATGTCTCCAAACCTCGTTAACACGGAAAGATTTCGCTTAGATGAGGAATCCTTGCGTGACGAGAAAACAGTTTGAATAAAAGGCCACATTATTTTTTGGGTAAAATTCCATTACATCATCATAATAAAATATACATCATGATTATATAGGACCTAATTCTTAAGTTAGTTTTGTTCCTAATTTTGTTCCTAAATATAAGATTTATTTTTTATATTTTTTAATTTTTTTCTAAATTATCCCTGTAAATACCCCTTCAACCATAATTAGGTAGGAAAAGAAAAGGAAGTATTAAGAAAGATGATTATGGTGTTTTAGAAAAAATGTATTACTTTTCTTATAATTAACTAACTTACCTAACTTCTTTAATCTAATCAAATTAGTTAAATAGGTCTTATATTAAGAACCGGAAGAGTACTATTATACCAAACCCCTATATCTCAAAACACCACCCTACTTGACTGTTTCCATTTAACATGCAGAAAACTAGTTTAAGGATGCTCCTCACTGTTCATGCCACCTTAAGCTTTGTTCTCGCAAAGGCACCATACAGAGCAGCAAGAAATTCTATGCATAAATAACATCTCCATCCGTTCTCTCAACAACAACCATGAACGATTACCTCAAACTAAAGGGTCATCAAGTAACATCAATAATGTCTTTAATGTTAGAGAATACAAAACTGACCAAGGCGTACTTTACAAGAATATTATTGATATAACAATAATTTACTGCAAAAAATCCCTTGGGTCAGTGACAAAACCGGTCAACGCGGAGGCAGCTGCAGTATACGGAGATGCCAAATATATCTGACCTTCTTTGTGTCCCATACGCCCAGGGAAGTTCCGGTTTGTAGTCGAAACACAAACCTGCAAAAACAGATGATAATAAATGGGTTCAATTTCCAGTCAATTTTTAGAAAGCATGAAAATGACAATCAACTGCAGTTGCCGGGTATAGATTATACAGTAAATCAAATGGTTGCTTCAAAATTATCAAATTCCATTTCTCAAGACATTAATGGTGGCACATTCGCGATATTGGCATTGATCTTTGAACATATTTACTCAAAGACCAATGCTGATGTCGTAGGTCACTTTAGTTCGTTACAGAGAAGTTAATGTTGGAGGATGGACCAAATCCTACGTGGTCCTAGATGTTCCAAACAGAAACAGAGGAACTTGCCTGAGGTTCATTTAATCGGGCATAGGTATCTTTTGGGCCACCCAAACAAGCACCACAGCTAGGACTTGCAGGTGTGTCACACCCAGCTTCTTCGAAAATCTGGGAGCAAGTTTTACCACCAGATCCGGGGACCGGAATGCTATACAAGTCCATCCACACCTGCAGATCCACAAATAGATACGCCATGTCACAACCATCCAAGTGGATGCTCCCCAGTGGAGCAGAGAGGAGAGATAAGAGTAAACCCACACCGATAGGTGAGTCTTCGACATATCTCTCTCTCCCTCCCCTCACCGCAACACTGCTTTTATTAGACAGGATCCCAGCTCCACAATTATCTATAATCGTTTCCTATGGGAATTTAAAGCTGCAAAGCCCCTGAAACTAAATATGGGAAACTTCTCATACCTTCTGGGTTGCAGGTACAAGAAATGTCGGAACTTTTACTTTTTTACCCTGCAGATGCACATCAAGCTCTTCAGCAGAGTTAAAAAAAAATATCACACCTTCCAAGATAGAACCCAAAATAAAATGACTCTGATCCTACAGGAAGCAGATCACCATGAATTGGCAACAGAACAGTAAATTTTTTAAAAAGATGGCTCACCACCGGTGCTTTGTGTTTTGGCATTATGTGATCCTTTCTACAGGTAATCATTAATGCTACAATCTATATCAAGTTGCACTATTCGTAAGTCATGAAAAGCGTGACTCGTTTTTCCAGTTTTGTGCTATGCACAAGAAAACATGTCTAGTTACATTAAAAACATATTTCACAAAATTGATTGGAGACATTGATACAAACATTTCATAAAGTAGCTTACTTAAATCCGTATGAGATGTAATATATGCTGCAATGCAATATACAATACCATAAGAAAAATGCAAATCAGGCATGCACATTCTAAGACGCCTGTTTATCACACAGCACTAACAGCCCGTCGTTTAGCAGAAAGATCGGTTATCCAGAAAAGCCATCAATTACAAGCCATAAAAATTAAAATCAAATACAATTTTATAATGTTCAGCATATGAGATTTTAAATTATTGGAGCGCATATATCACAAAATTGGCAAGCATATATCACAAAATTGGCAACAGGAGCATATAATGCTTACTGAAGCTAGAAAAACTTTTGCTGCAGCCATGAAATCCTCCGTCTTACCACCTGTGCAAGATCCTATATATACTCTGTCAATTTTTACATCCTTGCATTCTCTTGCCAAAGCACGGTTATCAGGAGAATGGGGCTGTGAAAACCGAAGGATCATATAAGCCATAAAAACTAACAGCAGCAGATTAAAAAAAAAAAAAGTATTCCTGGCAGATTTACACATAAAACCTCGCCACAATCAAATCAAATTACTCACCTTGGCCACCAGCGGCTCCAGTTTCGAGACATCAAATCTATAGTCGGCAAGAAACCTGGATGCCAATAAAGCGAGCATATAAAACCAAGTATTAGTAACAGTCGATTCATAATATGATTGAGTTTTCTCCCATTTACAATGAAAGTGACGTTCAAATTTTGTTGGTAAGACTAAGTTGCCCAGAGAACGGACCTCTATTGCCTCAGATAGCGTGCTTATAATTCTAGGTGTTATATTGAAATAGACACGAGCATTTCCAGGTGCCAATACTAAATATATGGAAAAAGAAAAAAAGGCCAATAAAGGACTATAACTACCTAGCTTGGTTGTCACTATAAAGTGGTTCATATGCAACAGATGTCTTGCCCTGCACAAGAAATGATTACAACATTAAAACCCCCTTGTTAGGCATGAGACAATCCCATATTAAAAACAAGCCATCACACATGAAGAAATCACACGCAGCCACCCATCTTAGGCAAAAACAAAAATCTCCCAATGATGCTAAGCCTCACTGAATTGATTCAGCCAAAGCGTCACAGATTACAATTATTCAAACAAACATGCAAAACACAAAACATATACATATAACATGGAAGGCAACACATATGAAGATTTCCAGAGTTATCAGCTCTGAAAATT